AAAAAAAAAAAAACGGGAAAAGAAGACGCTTGCCTCTTCCAGCACAGGGCCGACAAGTTGTGGTGGAGGGGGTTGAGAAGACATTGCACATCGTACCAGACAGGAAGACGCTTGCCCCTCTAGCACAGGGACGGCAGGCTGTGTGATAACCGTCACGATCCCGCTCGCTGAAGCGTAGGTCACTGGCGCCGGGGCCTTGTCAGTCAGCGTCGACGCCACCCAGCGGGCCGACGCTGAGCGGCAGCCGCAGCCGGCTCCAACGGGCGGAACCCGTTCAGAGGTCTGCGCGGAGACCGCCGGTCGGTCCGGGCAGAGTCCGCCGGTCGGTCCGGGCAGATGTCATCCCTTGCCACAGACAGCTCTCAGTTGTGTCGGTCGATGCCTCGGTTTCCTGTCTTCGATATGACGGGACCTCTTGTGTGTCCCTGAACGTCTATTCACGGACACACAAGGAAAACACCACAGGAAGAGAGATGTTCACAAAGACAGACGATATCGGAGAAGAATGCGAGCTCATTGCAAAGAAGGCAGGGACACATGTCCCAGGCATTGGGAAACATCCGGTTACAATCCGTGGTGCAATGTCTCCCGTTTCCGTCACTCGTGAACACATCATTCCTGTCTGCGGTTTGCAAAATTCCGTTCCTCTCCGAACACAACCTACTCAAGTCCTCTACCTCGGGTCATTTCCCATTCGCCTCTGCAGTGGGACATCCCAATTCTCCACGTAAAGGCGTTCTAGTGAAGCACCTCCGACCACTGCGCTGGCGCGTGTTCCGCTCTTGTCTGGGCCACGAGGAGGCGGGTGGCGACCGGTAGGTGGCAAAAGTGGGCAGCCTGCCGCTGCTGTCGTGAACGTCAGCAATTAGTCATTAGTCATTCACCAAAGTGGGCGGTCGTCACTGGCGGTATGTTCCCGCTCCTGCCCGGCTCCAGCAGCGGAACTATGAGCACCTCGCTCTTCTCTCTGAAGTGTTCAAATGGCACCAACAAGGCCTCTGCCTCTGCCGCCGCTGGTGCGAGTCGCCACAGTGTACCACAGGTCGGGTCCTCTTGCCGCACCGCGCGGTGAGCCCATGGCAGGCAGCTGCGTCACTCGCGACAGGGTGGTTGCTTACTTGAGAGCCACTCGGTCCGTCTCCCTGGAGCATCTGAGACGCCTCCACAACGAGCGAGGGCCGACGCACAAACACCCGCGGACGGCACGCTCGTTCCCGCCAACACTCAGAAAAACATATCCAAAGAGGGCCCGTTTTGTCACAATCGGCTGAATAGAGGGTGCACCGCGACCATTGGTTGACAGCACAGAGTGTGGTACTGCAGGGTACGGTAAAGGAGTAATGCGTTCGAGCTGAGCCTAAAACATTCGACACTCATGTGCGGAGTTTGGTCTCTGCTGCACATGCCCCCTGCAAACGCGTGCCTGGCCTCCATTATAGTCGTTGAGGTGAGGCTTTGACTCATTATAATGCACTTCCGCTGTTGGTAGTGTCATGGTGGTGGAAATTCACTGGACTCCCCGCCAGTACGTACAGTGTCAACACTGGTCTGTCCACCGTGGGGACGGAGGGAGGTGTTAAGGAAGCTGTGGTATGATGGTTAAAGGGGTTGGACTCGCTCAGAGTTATGCAACTCCAGTAACCTCTCAAACGAGTTGTACATCACAATCCAAAAGGCAGCTTAATGCCCCAAGAGACGAAGAACATCTACTATTGTCACTTCTGCACGTTTTGCCCGCGCACAATGCCTGAAGACAGACTGCAAGCATGTTGACGTACAACACTGGCACGCGACAACACGGTCATACACTTTTCAACACTTTTCACACGGTCGGTCATTTCTGCAAAACCTATAACGTAAAATACGAGCGCTCAGCGAAACGACACTGTTTGAATTACGATAGTACGCAGAACCTTTCAAATATGCGGCTCAGAACTGATACATCTAGTACATTCAATTCCTTGAATGCTCTCAAAAAGAACTAAAAAGAATGCTCTCAAAACGCACTCAGAGAAAATGCTCCACATTTGAATATATCGAAGTCAACATCGGATTCGATGAAATATAAGCTCGCTTATATCTATCGGCACACTTTGAAGAGAACGTTCTTTTTCTATTTGTCGGTGGCGTCTACTGCCGCGGTCAGTTTGCGCCCACTCAAGTGCCATACATCTCTCACGTGTTCGGTGCGTACGGGTGTTGCCTGCGGGGTGCGATGCTTCACCAATGAGTTAGGCACTAAGAGCTCGCGTCGTACACTGATTAAACGGGTGAGAAAATAATTTGAAGTCGATATGTTTCATGACATTTAAAAAGAACCCTTGGCGTCATAGGTCGGATTTTGCCAGTCAGGGAGCACAGATGCGGTCCCCGCAAAGGATAGGGGCCAGAGAAGCGTCTGCGCTCAGTTTCCATAAGGCGACACTGAACGAGCACGTGGGCAACCGACAGTTCGCGATCGCAGCGAGGACACGTGGGTGGATGACCTCCAGACAGAAGATAACTGTGGGTTCCGTATGTATGGCCTCTGCGGAGGCGACAGATGCTGACCTCCCTGTTCCTGCTGTTCCGGTGGGAAGATACCCAGTCACCCACTGTATCTGTTACTGACCTGAGTTTAATTCCTTCATATCCATACTTTTCATTTTCATTCCATGTTTTTGAATTTTCAGTTTCATTCCACTGTTAGAGGGAATGTTCCATTTTTGAAGATATTGAAGCAAACATGAAATATGATGGGACAAGCCCACGTACAGCTATCGAAATATATTTATATGAAAAAGGCTGCTCTAGACAATATAATTTCTCAACTGCGTAAATATGCTCCTCCATACGTAATTGTTTGATTGCGTCATCGTACCTTGCACACCATTGATTGGGAGCCAGCTGATGGTCTTGGTATCTGGAAATCATGCTCACGGACGCCGAACATAACGGACTCTGCTAAATATTTTTCTTGGGCTTCATCGCCGTATGGCCAATGGAATGACGGTATTAGAGCGACGTCACTGTCGCGTCATGGATGCCTTGGTGGCTTTGAAATAGCCACACTGAAATGGTCTTCACACCTTCGCGGGCGTGTAGCTCAGACACTAGAGGGTTTTGGTCTAAAAAAGGGCAGGGCTGTAAGCTGCACCGAATAATCTTCAAGAACTGACTTTTGCAACTCAAAATCCCAGACAAATGTGGAGCACACCCTTTCAGTGGAACAGACTGATCTAGACAACGCAATTTCGTTCCTTAGTAAATATGCTCTTCATTACGTCATTGCTTGATTGCGTCATGAAACGTTTGTATGACGCTGAGGTGCTGCAGAACGAGCCGTGCGAAATTGCCACTCTAGCGCTCACCTGTAGTACACGACTCACCGAGAGATGGCAGTGGCGGTACCGGAAACGTTCACTGGACCAAATATCATTATGCGCTTATTTTGACCCTTTCTCGTGGTGTTCTTGCACATTCATCCGTGATTTTTATATGTTTACTCACATTCACATACTCGGTTATGGCGCTTTTAGGAAGCTATTCGATCACAAACCGTGTTCCCGTGCCAACTACCAGCCATATCCAACTTCTTGATATCATGTAGCACAAGACGTAACGCGGCTGGATCGGGTACAGCATAGTCCTTGTTGAGTGCAAGCCAACTGACGTCATCTCTGTTTGGAAATCGCACTCGCGGAGGGCCAAGTCTGAACAGTCGGACGGACAATGTTCTTCTTAGCTTTGGGCTCTGCGAGACCAATAGCGTGGCAGGATTCAAATGACGCTTATATGAGGTCATGTATGCATGAATGGCCCCAGAACGGTCTGCCCAAAGTCAGCACGTCTTCGCGGGCGTGTAGCTCAGAAGCCACAGGGCTTTAGGTCTTCAGAAAGGCAAGGCAGTGAACTGCAACGCATGATCTTCAAAATGGCCATTTCACTTCCAAACCCCATACAAATGTGGAACACTCTCTTTAAGTCCCGCCATCGGCTTTATCTCGCGCCGGCTTTTTTTGCTTGTGTCCACACCCCCTCGTTCAATATTCACACATTGTAAAGCTTCATATACTGCGACCGAAGCAGAAACCGTCTCCTATGTGAAGACTCCCAGTCCATGGACTTCAGCGTGATTGTCACAACCACGACACCTGCCAACGACGGCAGGATTACACGGGAGCCCGCGGCCACGCAGCTCACTACAGCACCAGCTTCCACGCATTCAAAAGAAACCGCTGCGCGAGGGGAGAGCAGCTGGGTTTCAGAACGTTGAACAAGTCCCTGGCCGATGCACCACCGAAACAATACAGCGGCCTCGCGGCGAGAGCGCCGCACCGGACGCACACATCAAATGGCAACGCGACCAGCAGCCGCATACCGGGCCCGAGACCCCTCGTCTTCAGTCGCCCCGCAGTGCACCTGATGTTTCTGTCGAACATCTACCCCAAACTGGAAGGCCTCGTAAAGACAGCGTGCCATCTTTTCAGTCGCTGCCTTCTACGGTGAATCCCGAACTTGCCCCGGGAACTTGAGCTGCTGTAAGCCGGAGGGCTGCACGTCCCTCAGCTGCTTATCTGAGCTGCTGTAAGCCGGAATGTTTCAAGTCCCTCAGCTGCTTGTCTGAGCTGCTGTAAGCCGGAGGGTTTCACGCCCCTCAGCTCCTTATCTTCCCCCGATCGCCCGGCGCCCCAGCCAGCATTAAAGCCGGCATCATCTGGCAACGCTGTGCGCGCCGGACCGAGCCGAGTCGCCGCCCACGAGCGTCACGTGGCCAGCACTCTCCTGCCGCCGCCGGGTTACGTAACCAAGCCTTGCGTAGCTCCCTCGAGCACCACTGACGATCATTTTGTGTAAAATGCTTCGTCTCCCAAACCGGCAATCAGCGAAATCAATGTCCCCGACCCCTTCCAACCCGCGACCCCCCCCCCCCCCCCGTGGTGGTAAATCCCGGCAACACCCCTACCGTTGGGTCGTGCGCCTACCCGCTATGCTACTACCACGTCTGGTGACCCCTGGCGACCCGCCGACCACTTAAGACCGCACAGATCACAAGTCAGGCTAATTTAAGTCCAGTCACATCAAGTCGTCAAGTTACGCCAAGTCATGACGCTACCTGATCACGCATAGCCCGTCAGGTCTGTGAGCGCCGCCGGCGTTCCCCTGTCGCCGCGGAATCACGCCACCCCCATGCCCTGACGCCGGCGGGCTATGCGATCCCTCTCGCCTCTCCCCGACAGGTCACGTGACCAGCTCCGCTGCACTCACGTGACCACGTGACCGCCGCTCCGTCCTCACCTTGCCACAGGCCGTGACGACCACCAGCATCTTGTGCAGGTTGAACTTGTCGCGCGTCAGATGTGTGACGTCAGAGCCCTGGATCACCTCGCCCGACACCACGGACGCCGCCAGCGACGCCAGCTGACTCCACTGTGATGTCATACGGCGCACGAACGCCGACACGGGACCGGCTGCCGACGCGAGGCCAGGGTGTTAGAAGTTCAGTGTCTTCGGTGGAAAATAATGCACTTTAGGGACGATTTCGGACTACGATCTCGAACTCGATTTAGGGTTGTGGACTCTTTTCGTAGGTTTGGTCTCATATTCACAAAAATGTATGCACGCCTTTTTAAGCTGGATGCGGTCTCTCGGGCTTTGGCAAGGACATTTCGGCCTCCACGGCCGCCTTTGCTCGCGCGATTCTGTCACGCTGTGCAACGTAGCACGGGTCGGTAGCGGACGTGGCGCCTTGCGATGAGCGCTCAAACTTCGCCTACTGTGATAGGTTTGCTACGGGACCAAGAGCACACCGGTGCCGGCAGACGGGAGCGGGCGCCTATCCCACGCAGCAACACATAACTCGCCGCGCTCTGATGCCAGCCTTTGCCACCGGCTCCACCGAGCCCACCATGGCGGCGCCTGAGTGGGCAGTGACGACGCCCACCGAGCCTCCTAGCCACAGCGTCCCAGGGCGACACAGCGCGGCGGGATGGACCAGCCACCGCCGCCGCCGGCCCACGGCCGCGGGCCTGCCGCGTGGCGTCACCGCACCAAGCCGGCTCTCCGGCCAACGACCAGGGTGTCGGTCATCATCACGGTGGATCACAGCCAGTCATCATCACCGTGGATGATAACCAGTCATCATCACGGTGGATCATCACCAGTCATCATCACGGTGCTGAGACCACGCACACCAGCCGTCTGTGACGTCACCGACCCAGACAGTGACGTCACCACAGCGCGGAACACCCCCATGCCACATCCACTCGGCCGGCAGAGCGGCGGCGGGGGCCGTCTCATGCGGGTGCGCCATCTCGTGCCTCGGGCATCGTCATCACCACTGTCACAGCCGCATCTCGCAGGTTCGATGCTGCATTTCGGCGCGCGGCGACGCGAGAAGTGCAGTTTTGTAAACTAAGTAAAGGGGGGAGGGGCTAAGTGGGGAAGAATGGCTAAACATGCCCTCAAAATACACGAAAAACACGGCCTTTTACCCCGATTTGATCTAGTTTCTTTTTTAGCCGCAAGGAGTGGAAAGAAGCCTTCGCTCTTGGCGACGGGCCAAGAATTCCGACAAAATTCGAAACCTTTTAGTCCCTGGAGACGCAGTGATTCGTTACCACGGGGACTTCGATCAAACGTGGGGCCAGTGAGGCAGAGTCGGACATAAGCCCAGCAATTTCTCAAACCTCGCACCTAGTGACTGGCTCACGTCGGTCCACCATCCGGGAGCCTCACCGGCAGGGTCGCCGAACTCCTCCTCGATGCTGACGTCGCCGGCCGACATGGGCAGGTCCACCACCTCTACGGCCACGACCGAGGCCAGCGCTTCCTCCCGCGTCCACAGCACGTCACCTGGCCACCGCCGCGAGGGGGGAGGGGGTCAACGCACGGGACACGACGCCAGCGCTTCCTCCCGCGTGAACAACACGTCACCTGGCCACCACCGCGAGGGGGGGGGGGGGTCAGCGCACAGGACATGGGGCTGACTGTTCTGAGCAGAGAACGGTAACAAGGTCGACGCACGGGTCACGGGCAACAGCAGGGGACGGTATATGCGAGCTTACCACAACCCCACTCATATCGGGTTTATCATACGATAGCGGAGCGTTCAAAATACCGGTCGTGGGTCGGGTGCTTTTCAATGCTGTAGCGGGGACTGTGCAAGAGACCATCTGTTCACGGCACGAAACAATCGCCGTCAATGCGCCTGACGAACACGCCCACCATAGACCCGTGCCGACGTTCCCAGACAACTCACAGTCACGCGAATAACGACCGTGATGACGACAGAAGTGACAACGACGGCGATGATGCTGGTGACAATGATGGACAAGATTGAGCTGCTAATAACCGCTTGTAACCTGAGCCCAAACGCAACAGAGGAAAATCCTGAGCGGCGTTCGCAAAGTCGCGCCAGTTTATCTACCACCGCACCGCAAATTGAGACATGCAAAGCCAAAGCAAAACGCCCCTCACCGCCTCCACCGAGCACGAGACATCACTCGCATCTTCCCCTTCCCCACCTCCGACAGTTGTCATGGTGACGGCATCGTCGTCGCCGACGAGCAGGGCGCGCGCCGCCAGCTGGCCGCCGTCGCGGCGCGGCGCCACCGTCACGTGGCAGGCGGAGACGGTGCCGTGGCGCGCAGTCAGTGACACGGCGCCCGCCGGTGCTGCCACCTGTCCGCCGCCCGGCGCACTGACCGAGAACTCCACCGCCTGCCGGGCCAGCCGGATTAGACGCGGAAGCATGTCGTTGCCTGCTGTTTTACGAGCGCGGCGGTTGTTGAGGTCGTCTCGATTGACATGGAGGGAGGAGAATGGTACAAAACACCTCAGCAAACAGCCGGCAGGATATGGAAGCTGTGATCAAGAATATAATTTATATATAGACAAAGATACAAAGATTATTCATATTTAGACAAGGATACATAGTAGCGGGACATTTCAGTCGTGCCTCCGCTACACCATCGGGCAAGCAGGATGGGTACCCTGTGGAAAAAATTACCAATGCAGGGTGTGTATGCGTGCGCAATGGGAACCAGGCTCAAGAGTCGACAACACCTTGCTGGCGCTAGGGCAACACCAGGCTGATGCTAGAGCAACCCCGGGCTGACGCTAGAGCAACACCGGGCTGACGCTAGAACAACACCGGGCTGACGCTAGAGCAACACCGGGCTGACGCTAGAACAACACCGGGCTGACGCTAAAGCAACGCCGGGCTGACGCTAGAGCAACACCGGGCTGACGCTAAAGCAACCCCGGGCTGACGCTAGAGCAACACCGGGCTGACGCTAGAGCAACACCGGGCTGACGCTAAAGCAACACCGGGCTGACGCTAGAACAACACCGGGCTGACGCTAGAGCAACACCAGGCTGACGCTAAAGCAACGCCGGGCTGACGCTAGGGCAACACCGGGCTGACGCTAGAGCAACACCGGGCTGGCGCTAAAGCAACGCCGGGCTGACGCTAGAGCAACCCCGGGCTGACGCTAGAGCAACACCGGGCTGGCGCTAAAGCAACGCCGGGCTGACGCTAAAGCAACGCCGGGCTGACGCTAGAGCAACACCGGGCTGACGCTAGAGCAACACCGGGCTGACGCTAGAGCAACGCCGGGCTGACGCTAAAGCAACACCGGGCTGGCGCCAGAGCAACACCGGGCTGACGCTAGAACAACGCCGGGCTGACGCTAGAGCAACCCCAGGCTGACGCTAGAGCAACACCGGGCTGACGCTAGAGCAACACCGGGCTGACGCTAGAGCAACACCGGGCTGACGCTAGAACAACACCGGGCTGACGCTAAAGCAACGCCGGGCTGACGCTAGAGCAACCCCGGGCTGACGCTAGAGCAACACCGGGCTGACGCTAGAGCAACACCAGGCTGACGCTAGAGCAACCCCGGGCTGACGCTAGAGCAACACCGGGCTGACGCTAGAGCAACACCGGGCTGACGCTAGAGCAACACCGGGCTGACGCTAGAACAACACCGGGCTGACGCTAAAGCAACGCCGGGCTGACGCTAGAGCAACCCCGGGCTGACGCTAGAGCAACACCGGGCTGACGCTAGAGCAACGCCGGGCTGACGCTAAAGCAACACCGGGCTGGCGCCAGAGCAACACCGGGCTGACGCTAGAACAACGCCGGGCTGACGCTAGAGCAACCCCGGGCTGACGCTAGAGCAACACCGGGCTGACGCTAGAGCAACACCGGGCTGACGCTAGAGCAACACCGGGCTGACGCTAGAACAACACCGGGCTGACGCTAAAGCAACGCCGGGCTGACGCTAGAGCAACCCCGGGCTGACGCTAGAGCAACACCAGGCTGACGCTAAAGCAACGCCGGGCTGGCGCTAAAGCAACACCGGGCTGGCGCTAGAGCAACACCCGGCTGGCGCTAAAGCAACGCCGGGCTGACGCTAGAGCAGCCCCGGGCTGACGCCAGAGCGACACCGGGCTGGCGCTAGAGCAACGCCGGGCTGACGCTAGAGCAACACCGGGCTGACGCTAGAGCAGCCCCGGGCTGACGCTAGAGCAACACGGTGCTGGCGCTAGAGCAGCGCCGGGCTGACGCTAAAGCAACACCGGGCTGGCGCCAGAGCAACACGGTGCTGGCGCTAAAGCAACACGGGCTGACGCTAAAGCAACACCGGGCTGGCGCCAGAGCAACACCGGGCTGACGCTAGAGCAACGCCGGACTGACGCTAGAGCAACACCGTGCTGGCGCTAGAGCAACACGGGCTGACGCTAGAGCAACACCGGGCTGGCGCTAGAGCAGTCAGTTAGCCCGATGGTAACGGGCGGATTGTGCGCGGCTCAGGTTGGACCAGAGGCCGGAGGAGTGGCGCTAACCTAGAACGCGGAGTGAAGGAAAGAGCATGTGAATGATACAACAGCTCACATCGAAAGAAAATTCGTATGAAGTGTAACAGCATGAATTTGTCAACAGTGCACTCTAAAAAACCATAATGCTCACCGGTACTTTTCCAGTCTTCGAGTACTTCCCGACATACAGAACTTGCTCGCCGCCAGCTTGCGCAAGGCACGCCATATCTCCCGCCATCTCCTGGACGACCTCGAAACTAGGAGTCACTCGGACCACCGTCAGGCGACCGGAGGCGGCGATGGCGAACAGATCGTTGCCCAGGTGTCGCACACGCGGCTCCTGGCTAGCGGAGAGCGCCGGCGGGAGGGGCTGCGTGGAGAACCGACCGGACGCCGCGGTGAATACGTGTAGCGCCCTGGCGGCGGCGTCCCAGCAGAGCAGCGCCCCGGCGCCCGACACGCACCTGGAAACGGCCCGTGCCACTGATGAGCGCACAGATTCCCTGCAGGTTATCAAATCTCCTCATCCTCAACAATCGTCTGGTTTGGCGGGTTCATTCCGTTTTATCTCTAACAGAAAAGCTAAGTTCCGATTGATTGGCGGATTTTCTGAACACTGACCGCCGCTGTGTCGAATGGTTCCCAAGCACCGGCCCCGAACACCACCAGCTCCACCACAGAACACGCCCACCGCCCCGTCCCTCGCCACGAGCCCCGCCCGATGTGGGACGGGCCGGGGCGGCGCGACCGGCGGCCTCACCTGGCGGCGCCGGCCCAGGGCGTGCTGAGCGGAGCCGTGGTGACCTGGCCCGAGCCGCGGGCGATGCGGTGCAGGTTGGCGCTGGGCCCCAGCTGCAGCGCCAGCAGCTGGTCCCGGCCCGATGTCAGCACGTGCAGACCCGCCGCGCTGTTGACGAGCCGGCTGGTGAACTGCACAGCGGGGCAGGGCCAGCAGAAACACACACATTGTGGCGACAAGTGAGCGAGCAGGACGACTAAAACTCGCGGAACACTGGCAATATGCGTTTAAAAAATGCACGCCAGGCCAATTATTGAACTTTGAGGCAAGGCTATTTTCTATAAGACTGCTACATAGTTTGGGGAAGCATCACAATTTCAGATACAGCAATATTAATATCATTTGAGATAATATTAATAAGACATTTATATGATAATTGATACAAGATATATATAGATATATATATATATATATATATATATATATATATATATATATATATATATATATATATATATATATGGATGGATATAGCTAATAATTATGATGTTCTGACATTCAAAAAAGAACAAACATACCACAAAGATTGCTACATAAGCTACATGCATACATACATAAAATACCAAAAAAGGTCAATGGGCAACCAAACCATTTGCTCTGACAACCCTGCATTCCATGATGGGGGAAGACCCAGTGGACCGCTGGCGACACCACGCGGATCTCCCGCGGACGCAGCTCCCACTGCATGTTGCAGACAGCCCACGAGCCCCATAACAATCCATCCACACTGCTGCATGACCAGGCACTGGCACCTGCACCTCCGCAGGCAGCCCTTCCACGGCCGCCGTCCGTCACTGCTCGACCTCGACCTTAATCACGGCTGGCCGCGAGCACCAACCAAACCCCGACACTTGATCCGCCCACACGCGCTGGGCGCTCGGACCAGCAGCGAGCCGGCTCGACCCCGCGAGGTAGCCCTCAGAGGGGGGCACCACGTGACCTTTGGTCCCGGGCTACGCACCCGCTGGCTGGGGCGATGTCGAGCGCTGCCTCAGAGATGAGTAGGCCGGTGGCGGCGCACCAAACGCGCAGCAGGTTGTGGCCCGAGTAGGTCACAAGGTCGCCATTAGATGGCAGCAGCAGGTGGATGTGGCCGCTCTCGCCCCGCTCTAGCACGCGCCGCCAGATCAGCTGACCTACCGAGGTGAAGTGAGAGGTCACACACTGGCAAACAAAGGCCAGCAGAGTAGATAGGTAGCTCCCCAGTATTTTCTGAAGCATGCAGGTGCAAAGAAAAGGGTGATGGATGTGAACAGCTCCACATGCATGGATGTCAGTAAATCGACCATCCATGTATTGACAGATATCCCTGCAAGCATTTCAACCAGCTAAACAGATTAAGCAATAGACTGCTATAGAGGTGCACAAAGGCATCTTGCATGCTGAAAAAGCAGCTTCTGTCAGGCCCTAATCCTGCCCTGCCACAGCCTATGGGCCCACCTGACTTGTGGTTGAGTGCAGCCAGTACATTGTCCTCTGTGGCCATCACAAGGCGCTTGTAGCCACCAGCGCCGCTCGCGTCGAACAGCACGTGGGCCGGCCGGCCGACCATCTGCTGCCGCCTGCAGTCAGCACAGGCAGGGATGATCAATGGGTATGGGTCAGCAGTCATCATCAGGGAAGGACTCTACTGCAAAGGGCTCTCAGCACCAGCTTTACACATGCTGGGTCAACAATGATTGTGCAAGGAGGGTTATGGTAGTTTGATACAAACTGGCAGAATGGAGTCTCTGCATGATGCAAATATGGTGTTGTTATAATGCAACACAGAGATGCTGTGCCACTGCTCAGACACAAATGCATCCATCTTCAGCATGCCACAGGACAGAATGAAGTAAGATGATGGCACAAGAAAAATGATGATGCATGGCAAAACTATGTTAGTCTTAAGCCACTGGATTTTTCACAGCCTAACAATTAAAAATGTAATTTCTGGGACTTACCAATCAAATTTCCCTGCTTGATCTTCATACAGAGCTAGAACTTTCAATATTAAGCAAGACAGCAATACTAGAATGGTAAATCTAGCCATGTTTTTTCTTAAAACCATGAAACAATCTGAAAAGGAAAAGGGTCATATTATGAAATATCACATGTTATGTTACTGTTCTGACATTTTTTTATATTTAGGTATTATAAAATGTCAGTAGATTGTGCATCAAGATCTAGTTTTATGAAATGAGAGTACCAAGGCCTGCAACATTATTTGTATCATGTGGTCCCCCGGAGTGAGCAACCTAGAGACCTGAAACCTAGGTGGCTTGCAATATTTATAGAGCCAAAGAGCAGAAATTAAACCATCTTGACTTTGAGGACAGTGAGCAACTAAGCAGCAGTTGCTTTTCTGTATACATACTGCAATGATGCATCAGACCAAGCATGTGTCATGCTCTGAAAATGGAGTACCAGAACATGATGAGTCTTGAGATTAGCATCATGATCAACCCTATAAATTTTTGAACCCAGAAATAAAGAAAATAATTGCTTTTAGCAGTGTAAATAACTGAACCTGCATTTTCTGCATGGGGGAGTTATTACTGACTGATTGGCCTTTGTCCAGCATGCAGCATACATAAGCTTAAACACAATATTCTATTTTGGCTTAGATATGAATCTTCACATCTGAGTTGGGAATACCATGTCTACACCAGTCCATCAACAATATCCAATGGTAATAAAAATAATTGATCTGGAATGTTTGTCTACACCTATTGATAGTACTTCACCCGATTGTATCTTGCCACCCACCAGACAATTCAACTGCATGGATACAATGCAAAAACAAGGATACGCACGACGCAATATTTAAAAAACACGCATATACGATATATGAGCCATACTAGCCAGCTATCCAGACATTATAAAAGCAATCCGGTGTCCCAAATAGTGCCTCTTCATTCCACTTTTAACAGGCTCCATGCGACCAAAAGTAAGGCACACATTGCCATAAATAACTCATACACTTTCTCCCTCATCCGAACAAATACAAAGCACCCAACTAGCAATAAAAAATGCAACACAAAACTACCACCACATAGCCCACCGCCTCCCCTCACGAAAGTCGCGCACGATAGTCACTTCGTCATGAGGCTCAAAGTATGAAGAATGAGTAGACAGGTCTACCGCTTCTGCGATACAAAATGCTACATGATCTAGCTTATTTATAATATTGTGTCAAAACTGAAATCAACAAAGTAGTATTTTTGTCTGATACTGAATAAACAAGCATGAAAATCTTGTGAAGACCCTCTGATATTACTGATTGTTGTATCGGTAGAAGACGAAAGAAAATTAGCCGGGTATGAGACCACGCATAATGACGCTTTTGTTACGAATACAACGCGAAGTTTTGTATGTGACCGTCACGAGTCACTAATTCCGCACGAGTCTTGTAAATACAGGGAGGTGCGGGAGGGTTGGCCGGTTCCCGCGCTTTCATTATATGCATGTTTAGAACACCTTATATCATTGTAAACTAAGGTTTTTCAATGGATGCATGCCTTCCAGTTATTGCGTCAAAGTACGGGGGAAATTTTCCATATTTCCGTCA